AGAAATAGAATTTACAATTAAAAACCAAAGCTCAAATGTTTTCACTGGTGAATTCTATCAAATATTTAAGTAAAGCATATCACTTTTACATAACCTCCTTCAGAAAACAGAGGAGGCAAGGATACTTCCCAAGTTATTTTATAAGATCAGTATTGCCCTGACATTACGAGAAATGAAAACAATAGGTCAATATCCCTTATCGACATAGACACAAAAATCCTTGACAAAACTTCAGCAAACTGAATCCAGCAATATACAGAAGGGATAATATGACATGACCATGTAGGGTTTATCCAAGAAATGCAAGGTTAGTTTAACATAAAAAAGCAACAATTAATACAATTTACTCTATTAACAGAATAACAGAACAACATAAGATCATTCCAATAGATGAAGAAAAAGCATTTTGTGAAAACTCAACACCCATTTGTAAGAAAAATTCTCAGTAAATTAGGAATAGAAGGGAACTTGCTCAACCTAATAAAGGACATTTATGAAAAACCTACAGCTAACATCACACTTCATAGTGAAAGATTTAAGTGCTTTCCCCCTCTGATTGGGAACAAGACAAGGATGTTCACTCTCACCACTTCTATTCAACATTGCATTGGAGGTCCCAACGAGTGTAATAAGGCAAGAAAAAGAAATAAAAGGCATGAATATTGTAAAGGAATAAGTAAAACTCTCTTGATTCATAGATCACATGTTTGTATACATGGAACATGCTAAGGAATCTATAAAAAAGCTACTAGAGCTAATGAATATTGCAATGTTACATTATTTAAGATCAATATGAAAAATAAATTGTACTTCTATATTCTAGCAACAAACAATTGGAAATTGAAATTTAAAAATATCATTTATAATAACATCAAAATCATGAAAATACTTAGGGACAAATTTAACAAAATTGTGCAAGAACTGTCCACTGAAAAGTGTAAATTAAAAATTGAAATTAAAGACTTAAGTAAATGGAAAGATAGAGCAAATTCATGGATTGAAAGAGTAACTAATGTTAAGATGTTATTTCTCCCCAAATCAATCTACAGATTTAGTGCAAAGATTTGTTTTACATGAGTAACATATACTTGTATATAAATTGACTTAATTCTTTTCAGTGGCTACATAAATTCCCTCATATGAATGAGATATAGTTTATCCAACCAGTCCATTAAAAGTGGTCTGGTTAAGTAAATGTATTTTGTTCACTTAACTTTGTTAATAAACCTACCTGATGATTCACGTACATACATATACTTGATATGTCTGTATATATGAATACATGATATAATTTAACTGTCTTACTATAGCCTAGATCATAGGATCCGAAGAGTATTCCTGGGTTACAGCACATTCTTATGTATAACACCCATCAGCCTTATTACATGGAGTAGGTATCTGCTAAATTTGTCATGTACTGGTTGTTTTTATGGGACCCCATGTCACCTTTAGGCTTGCCCTATGATAGCAATACCAGGGTCAGTCACATGGGCAGGCTCCATTCCTCTCAGCTTTCCCAGTAGGGCCCAACTCTTCTTATAGCTGGGATTGCCTCCTTATTCCATGCCTGGCTGGCCAACCTGGCTCCCGGATTCCTGGGCTGTGATAACTCCCTGATCACTGACTTTAAGACATTAGAGTTTTTGTATCTCCTGAGGACTGTGATTGAAATCGTACCACTAATCACTTCTAATATTTGTGCTGGGCTTGCCTTCCCAACTCCCTTTCCTTCACTGGCAATGTAGTGTTTTCCCATAGATATATCTAGTTCCTACAGCTGTGATGCTTGGTACTTCCTACAAAGAATGGGTAGTTGCTGCTGGGGTTTAATTGTTTATGGAAAAAGGCTAGATTATACTTCTAATTCTTCCATCTTAAAAGTAGGTGTTTTCCAATGTGAATGTTGAGACACTTATTATTCAAACACTTATTTATTCAGCTGTGCCTTGGATGAACAAACACCAACTAGGTGGGTGGTTAACACTCTTCTAAGCACTGAGGGGGAAGGCAGACAACCAAAACGAATGATACAGACTATAAGTGCTATAGAACTGTACTGAGACATTTTGACAGGGTTGCCTTTCTCAAGTCTCTCTCTTTTGCAATCCACTGTGCTTTCCCAAGTGAGCTTTCTAAACATCAAAGCTCATCTGTTTTCAAGGAAAAAATTTCTGAACTCTTTAGTGCAACATTCACGGCTCTTCATAATGTGGCTTCAATTTCCATTCAAGCCTTAACCCTTCCCACACTCTTTCATGAACCCTATATTCTATCACGATATCAAACTTTACTGGTCCCATGAAGCACCAATGTCCTTTCCAATCTCTGTTCCCCCTGCCTAGAATCCTGTCCCTCTTCTTCACTTGGCACACTCCCAGTCAACCTCTAAGATTCAGTTCAAAGTCTTGGTGAAACATTTCCTCAATGCTTCTCATCTGTCCTGGATCTGTGCATATTATTCTGTCACCTTTATTAGATGATGAGATTTTTGAGGGCACTAGATTTATGTTAGTCATTGTACCACTGAATCTAGGTCTAAATAAGCCCTAGCAAGTAGTATAGGGGCCCAAAGAGTATTTGTTAAATGAATGAAGGAACAAGTGAATGTGAAGGAAGAACTCAGAGGGCTTTGGTATGTTTAGGTAAAGGACTTTTAAAGCCATAGGGCTTGAAGCTGGTTATAGAAAGACAGTAGAGAGATGGGAGAGGGCATTTGTAGGAGGAAGATTATTATCCTAGGAGACAGAAGAACAAAAGCCCAAGACTGAGAGTGAAAACAGTGAGGGGGGTCACCCAGACTGCAGCTGACTGCTGTACTGTCGTGACTTTTTCACCGTCTGGATTTCTCAATTACATTTTCAGCTCCCGAGGGCAGGATGTTTTGTATACTCCTATGTATGCCTTCTGGATTTGATGCACATCTCCATAGCTATTGTTCCTACTGTCCTGTGGTTCTTATTCTGCTCTGTAATATAATTATTTGTAAATCTACATAGCTCCCCAGCACTTACACTACCCTCTGTCCCAGGCTGCCTGAGGTAGGGGATGAAGTCTTAACGTCTTTGCATCTTCCAAGACACCTAGAATTGTGCCTGGCACACAATGGGTGTTCAGTAAATATTTTTTTATGTACTATTTTTGATCTGATTACAGAGGACAACAAAGATATTTGTGTGCAATGGTGTACTGTGGCATAAAACTTATATATGCCTTCACACTGTGTAGTCTATTTTTGGCAATTTTCATTAAAATGTTATCTTATTGTACCTGGAAGTCTGTCATTTCAATTTTCTTATTTGTTCCTTCTTGGATGACTCACATCTCTTACACCAGAAGGATATGACAGAAGGGATTCAAAAAGGGTTTGGACAAATTTATGAATGACAAAGTCATAAATGTTTGGGTAAGAGAAGTTCTTAGCATGCAAAGGGGAAGGAGAAAACTTGCATTTCAGAAGTGCCTATTATGTGCCAAGAACTCTGTGTTAGGCACTTGACATATTTAAGCCTCATTTAATCTGGCAGAAGATGCCAGTATAAAGACAGGACATGTCTATCTATAAGCCCAAGCCCACATTCATTCAGGCACATAGCTTCTCCAGGTACCAGAGACAGTACTCATCTTTATTAAAATTTTATCAACCTTTTAAGACAGATAAATCTACAGATGTGCATTATTTCCTAGGAACAGAACACTTATTTTCAATTGAGGCTTCTACAACTTAAAACTTTTTTTATCAGCTTTTAAAATCTCAGTGCTTTAAATTATAATGCAATCTGAGATATTCTCACAGCAGTAATAGCAACTACATTTGTTCATAAATGTAATTTTCTTGCTTACCTTTATATTTCATAATGATTCCAAATACTGAATAAAGGTTAATCAAATCAAGAAAAGAGACTTCTATTAACCCTGACACCAGCAAATTGTTTTAAATTATAATGTGCCTTCTATTTGCATTCTAGATACATTGAGTGGTTTTTCTGAGATACATAATATACCTCATGTGTGGTTAGAAGAAAACTGGAATGAAGTTAGTTTTAAGTTGTTTCTAATTTAAAAAAATAATAGTAACTGTAAAAAGCATAATGGTCCCAAGTATACAGCTTCTGCATCTAGCAGGCATCAAAATATTATAACCAAAGTACCATCTTTACTCCTTGGGAAATGGCTTGAGAAGGTGGGGTTGTAGGTACTGGTTCATTATAATAAGTCACACAGTATAAGGCCTGCAGCTATACATCCTGATCTGTTACAACATGCTTCCTGCCAAGTGTAGGTAGGGGAGAGTGGGAAGAAAAGGGGTACACCTTCAGAAAAGGGATTATCAGCATACTCACAGGTCTCAGATGGCTTTCTAGTAACCTGTTTCGGGAAAACTAGGACAGACTCCTTTGCTTTGGAAAACACATAACCATCTCATATGACTAAAGAAAATGGCAAGGGTTCAGACAATGTGTTTCATGATTTGGATGGTTCTGCCCCAACCTCTGTGTGCCACTAATCACTGGAAAAACATCAGATCTGTCTTTGTGGTGATTATGGGTTTTGTAAACTTTATATTAGTCAAAAAAATTTGAGAGACCAGGACTACCATCAACTAACATAGGTGTGACACGTCACCTATGGGACTTTTTAAAGATAGAAGAGAACCCAGCTTATACATTTAAAAAATTGTCCCTTGTATTTTGAGACTAGGGACTGAAAATATGCACATATTCCAAAGAGTTCTTTGTGTGAATAGGTGACCCCTTCCCACAGTCTCTGTAATTAATTGAGAAATTAAAGTTGGTTGGCCTTCGAGATCTCCTGTAAAAAAAAGGCAGAAGGTCTTGGATATTTTGGAACAAGAGTCCACTATTCTGCCAAGACAGTGTGTTATTGTTATTGGAGTGTCTCTCAACAAAACAGTATTGAGTGGTGAGGATGTGATTTTGATTAGGTGGAATGACTCAGCTCTTCCCCTTAAAGAAGAGAGGACTTGTCAGAGCCTTACTTACCTCATGATCTGGGATCTCAGAGGATAGTGTTTTCCCTAGGATGACCCCGGTCAAGTATGTCCAGCATCGAGCTGTGTTGGCAAGGTTATAGCCTCCTGTCTCCATCAAGAATTGTGAAGTTAGGAAAGAATAGTCACAAAACAGCAGGAGAGGGAAGGGGGGTAAGGAAGGAGAGAAAAATGTTTTAATAAAAGTGTGAAAAAGACAACTGCAACTTGCAGAATTTCACCAAACTATCCCTTTATGATATCTTGGATCACCTATTAGGCAGACTTTAGTGGACCAGTCAGATCATGCAGTGTGGAACTGGGAAGTCCAAGGCCTACAAAGATTAAAGAGGCCCTCATCTCTGAACAAATATGCACCTGAGGATTCCAAGCTCCTCAGTTCCATCAAGAGTCATCGCCAAGATTGAGATTCCTGGAACCCAGATTTCTTGAGGTGACCTAGCCAATGTGAAGATTTCTGTGATGAATTTTGCAACAATTGTACAAAATAACCATTGAATGTGATTTATATGCTAAAGCTATTGGCCGATAGATCCCTAGAAACATCCAGGAAAGAGAAAAGGAAAATGCAGACAGAAATAGACTTCCTTCTTTTACTATCAGCATTCCTTTTCTCCACAAAACACATGCCTTGTGGCAGAGGTCAAAGAGAATGAAACACGGAAGGGACTGTTGATTTGACACTCCAACCCAACTTGTCAGGTCCTGTCAGAGTCACCCAGCAGCCATATTATGCTGGCTAATAATCAGCATGTTTTTGTGCTGAATAGATGTGTTTTGCCATCTAAGTGTTAGAACATTGGCCTTTAGCTAAATTCCAAGAGTGTAAGGATAAAATGGAATATTTCCCAACCTCAGTGCAATCTGAGGGAAATAGAATCTGGTCTATTTTAGGTAGGGTGACCATAAAATGTATCATCCAAAATGGTATACTTTTAAGAGTAAAATGGGACACTATTACTAATTACAGTGAAATAACATGTACAAATTGGGACATACAGTTACCCTTTTCTTAAGCCTTTCTACTCCTTGGAAGGTCAGGGATGTTGAAGCTTCTGGAATGTGTCTTTTAGGGCTCAGTAGGGTCCACTGAAGCATGGGGACATGGCCATCTCCAAAAATAATTGTCCATTTTTTTATGGGGTTGAGAATTTAAGTGAACTAGTACAGGTATTACTTTAAATACCCCTGATGTGGAAAATCTGCATTTATAACATTGATCTACTGGACATGATTATTTGGTTTCAAAAATAATCACTATAGGTTATAAGTAGTAAGCTCTCTCTGGTGCACATACAATATGATTTGATTTGCAAAAATTCCATCTATGTGCAGGCATTTTCAGGAATATACCTATTGTATGAGAAGAATTATACTTATACATTCAAAAGCCAAAACTGGACTGAGAAAGCAAAGCAGCTTTGAATATTCTGAGTAAAGGCTGCAGCCTCAAACAAAAGTTGAATTTACACAAACGTATGCTGTGGAAAGGGCTCTTTCTTCCTCCTAGCTGTTCCTGTATCATAATCATCATCCTTAGTGACATCAAGAAAGTAATATATCACTCAGTATTTATCAACTTTATCTTTTCCCTGAGTTGAAGTTAAAACATTTATTGCCAGCTTTTCATAAAAGGTTATTTCTTGTAATCACCCTTAATTTTGACTCCTCTAGGATTTGAGGCTGCCAAGGGACCGGTCTGGTGCATTTGTGTTGAATGCTTACTCATTTTCATAAGGCCTCCCACGATCTTACATTGGGTTGATAAAACAACAGGTAACAACTATTAGCTGTTCTATAAACTATACATTTTAAGCTCAATTTGTTTGACCATGTTATTTTAACACATCAGTCCATCCAGTAAAATAAAGATAGTGCCACTGAGAGAGACAGAAGATTCTGAGCAAGGCCTCTTTTAAAGGTATTTTGAGGTTGTGAAAGGTCCCTTTCATAAATATGTAAATGCTTCTACTGAATAGACCCAGCTTTCCACTAGTTAAGTCATACAAAACATCAGTACACATTGAAGGCAAGAATGCCCTAGAGACTCATTAGAGCTCTCCATGTGGCTTTGTTGTAACAAATCCAGGTTTTTAAGTGGGGAAGGCAAAGTTCTTGAATTCACATTAGATATTTAAGTAATACGTGTATTCACTACTTACATATAAGTAGGGTTAAAATTTTAGTGGTGTTTTCTAAAGATGATTATTAGAACCGAGAATCAAAGACTACACTAAGAGAAGATAGAGTAAAGTCCACTGGGGTTAACATACTCAATTCTTAATGAGATCTATGTCTCCTTTAAGCAAAGGACCTTTGATTCAGGAATTAAAACTTAAGATTTCAGAGTGCCAAGGAGTCAATGCACATGCCAACCTGAGGAGGAAAAATTTGTCAGAATAATTCCTCGCGATGAACTGTGAAGGTAGCAGAGTTCATTGACTCAGGCTTCTGGACCACAGGCAGACTGAAATTATCCAATCTAAGAAGGCCAAGTGTCAATGGACAAAATGTGGAGGAAGGTCAACAAATTCTCCTGATGACCTCCTTTTGTACTCACCTCCTCCCAAAATGAGCGTTGCCAATTGCCACTGAAGGATGTACTTAAGACACTTGCCAAGTCCCACTGGAGTCATGTTAAAGGAGCACATGGGATCCCCAGCTATTGTATCAGCTCCCAGCTGTAAGACCACTGCTTTGGGACTAAAGGCTATGTATACCTCCTTTAGTACACTGTAGAAAAGAGAAAGGATACAAACTATCAGGAAAAGATAGGTCATTTTGGTCTAGGGGTGGTGGTGTTGGTGGGGCCAGTTGGAAGTACAGTCGAATCAGGAAATAGTGAATGGGAAAAAAATCAACTTGTCAAACTTGTCAAACTTTTCACCTAAAAAGGGTAAGTCTGACTATGTAAAATTTACCTTAATAAACCTGACTTACCAAAAAAACCCATCCCTCCACCCTCATCAAGGACTAAATTTGCCCTTCTGTTTTAGAACTCAGAATTCTTTAAATATTCATATTAATTTAACCTCAACAACCATATGACACATACTGTACACATTTGCCCCATTTTATAATCTGGGAAAATAAAACATATACATTAAATAGTTATTAAGGGTTATTTCTGATAATTTAGGATTGACAACATAATTGGAATTTATCATCTAGTTATTAGTGGGGCCTGGTTAGAAGAATTACATGCTATGAAAGCATAAATGTCATCAGCTAACATTTTACTATGCTAAAGGACTTTTGGGTTATGAAATGAAGCCCTCCCTCCCTAATTCATATGTAACCAGAGTACTATAGGGAAGGGAACCATAACAACTAATCCAAAATTATAAATCTGAAAGCACCCAAAAGAACAAATTGCAGTGGGTAATCAGGAGTGTAATCTTGGGTAGAATCATTCACTGTTATCAAATCAACCCAACAGCTTTATTCAACAGTTAGAAGCCTTATGACGAAAAGGAAATTGTCAGTGTGACAGATGACCTCAGACAGGCTTCCAGTATCATCATTAGTTCAACACTGACAATGTCCAGAATGCATTCCTAGGAGTTATGAGGCCCCTGCTCTCAAGGGGCTTACAATCTAGTTCCCAGACAAAACATATACCAGTCCTCGAGGGCCTGAGTAACTCTTACACAGACATATAAACAAGTGCAAATTAACATACTTCACAGTTGAGAAAGTGCAGAGTCAAAAAGTGATGAAAAAATGGAGGGGTTAATGACCCCTTCACAATCAACATGTCAAATTATACTAGTGCAGCCAAACCAAAAGATTACCAGATCCTTCTGCAACCACAGAAAGAATTCAGGGATATAAAATGTCATTCTCCCAAATTCACATGTAACCAGAGTGTTGAAACTACTGAAAAGTGCTCAGCTGCAGAAGCATTCTTTGACTCAAAAGACTGTTTTGTTTTGATTTCTCATATATACAGAAAAATATAGATTGTGGAGATTTTAAGAATACTGTAAAATTTATGACATATGATCCTTAATACAGCAATACTCGAGTCTACTGTCTCTTTCCTGTGCTTATCTCTTGGTGCAGAGGGAAGATAAGCCACCTGAATAGTTAGCCAACATTTATTAAACATCTACATGCATAGAGCACCCTATCAGCTGCTGCCAGGAGACAAAGAGGAAGGCATGATCTCTATTCTAAAAAGGTTTACAGCTTAATGAAGAGGAAAGCTAGACTAATGTTTTCTCATTCATTCTTTCCCTCACTTCACACACATTTAGTGTGTGTCCAGCATGCAACTAACTGTACTAGCTGCTACAGGAACGAAGATGAATATGGCAAAGCTCTTATCTTCATGTAGCTCAGAACAGAAGGGAAAACTCAGACTATGTCAATTAGTAATTAAAATGCACAGATACGACTTCTTCAGAGGAGCCAAGATGGTGGCATGAGTAGGGCAGCGGAAATCTCCTCCCAAAACCCATATATATTTTTGAAAATACAACAAATACAACTATTCCTAAAAGAGAAACCAGAGGATACAGTACAACAGAAAGGCTACATCTACATATGCGAGTACTTAACACTTCACAAAGGGGGTAAGATAAAAGCCGTGGCCCATCAGGACCTGAGTGCGCCCCCCACCCCAGCTCCCTGGTGGGAGGAAAGGAGTCACAGTGGGGAGTGAGTGGAAGTGCAGGACTGCTAAATAACCATCCCTAGACATCCGCACCAGGAGGGCAAACACACTCTGTACAGTGGGCTGGATATTAGGGAAATGGAAAAGTAATATCTGCAAGTGGATCCACGCAGCCGGCTCCTCTGGGACAAATGAAAAGGGAGTGCTTTTTGAAAGTCTTAAAGGGACAGGGGCTTCACGGCAGTAAGGAATCATCCTGAACACTCGGCCCAGTAGGCTGGGAACTCTGAGGAGCTTTGGGTGCCCCAGCCCTCTGGGAGGCAGTACAGCTCTGAAGACCCTCGCAACAATAAACAGCCTGCCATTCATTCCCCCTCCAGCATGGCCCCACTACAGAGGTCAAGCAGCCTGAAAGCAGCCATGCCCACAGCAGCTGCCCAGAGTCTCCTCCCAGCACACAGCCACCCAGGCCAGACCCGGGGCCACTGCTGGCATGCATCTTCCTGGCGAAGGCAGAGAAAGCTGGAGCAGGGCACGAAGGGGTGCTGTTCTCTCAGGAGAGAACACCCAGCACTCCTGCCAATCCCCACAGGGCAATGGGCTACCCTGAGGGCTGCTCCCAGTGTGTGGGTAACCAACAAAGGCAGTGGAGAGGGGCAGGGCAACCAGTAAGCAGGAAGGGACTTTGTTCTCCCAGCTGATATGCATGCCAACTGCCTACGACTACCTGTATCACCATGAAAAGGCAGAAGAAATTGGTCCAGTCAAGAATCACCAAGACAACTCCTTAGAGAGGACCTGGGGAGATAGATATAACCAACCATCCTGAAAAAGAATTCAAAATAAAGGTCATAACCATGCTGATGGAACTGCAGAGAAATATGCAGGAGCTAAAGGATCAAGTTAGGAGGGAGAATACAGAAATAAAATGATCTCTGGAAGGACTTAAGAGCAGACTGGATGAGGTGTAAGTGACCGTTAATGGAATAGAAGTCAGAGAAGAGTAATACAGAGAAGCAGAGGCAGAGAGAGATAAAAGGATCTCCAGGAATGAAAGAATATTAAGAGAACTGTGTGACCAATCCAAATGGAACAATATTCATATAATAGGGGTACCAGAAGAAGAAGAGAGAGAAAAAGGGATAGAAAGTGTCTTTGAAGAAATAATTGCTGAAAACTTCCCTAAACTGGAGGAGGAAATAGTCTCTCAGACCATGGAAGCCCACAGATCTCCCAACACAAGGGACCCAAGGAGGACAACACCAAGACATAAAATAATTAGAATGGCAAAGATCAAAGACAAGGACAGAGTATTAAAGGCAACCAGAGAGAGAAGAGTCACCTACAAAGGAAATCCATTGGGCTATAATCAGACATCTCAGCAGAAACCTTACAGGCGAGATGAAAATGGCATGATATAATTAATGCAATGAAACAGAAGGGCCTTGAACCAAGAATAATGTATCCAGCACGATTATCATTTAAATATCAAGGAGGGATTAAACAATTCCCAGACAAGCGAAAGTTCAGGGAATTTGTGTCCCATAAACAACCTTTACAGGATATTTTAAATGGATCGCTCTAAATGGAAGCACTCCTAAGGCTAAATAGATGTCATCAGAGAAAATAAAACCACACCAAAGAAAACAGACCAACCACATACTAACCAAAGGCAAAAAAATAATATCAACTATTCACAAAAGCAATCAAAGGAAACACAAAAGAGTACAGAATAAAACACCTAATATATAAAGAATGGAGGAGAAGGAATAAGAAGGGAGAAAAATAAAGAATCATCAGACTGTGTTTATAATAGCTTAATAAGCGAGTTAAATTAGACAGTTAGATAGTAAAGAAGCTAACCCTGAGCCTTTGGTAACCACGAATCTAAAGCCTTCAATGGCAATAAGTACATATCTTTCAATAATCACCCCAATGTAAATAGAATGAATGCATGAATCAAAAGATGCAGAGTAATAGAATGGATAAAAAAACAAGACCCATCTATATGTTGCTTACAAGAGACTCACCTTAAACCCAAAGACATGCACAGACTAAAAGTCAAGGGATGGAAAAAGATATTTCATGCAAACAACAAGGAGAAAAAGGCAGGTATTGTGGTACTAGCATCAGAAAAAATAGACTTCAAAACAATGAAAGTAACAAGAGATAAAGAAGGACACTACATAATGATAAAGGGCTCAGTGTTACAAGATGATGTAACCATTCTAAATATATATGCACCCAACACAGGAGCACCAGCATATGTGAAACAAATACTAACAGAATTAAAGGAGGAAATAGAATACAATGCATTCATTTCAGGAGACTTCAACACACCACTCACTCCAAATGACAGATCAACCAGACAGAAAATAAGTAAGGACACAGAGGCGCTGAACAAAACACTAGAACAGATGGATCTAAAAGACATCTATAGAACTCTAAACCCAAAAGCAACAGGATACACATTCCTCTCAAGTGCACATGGAACATTTTCCAGAATAGACCACATACTAGGCCACAAAAAGAGCCTCAGTAAATTTCAAAAGATTGAAATTCTACCAACCAACATCTCAGACCACAAAGGTACAAAACTAGAAATAAATTATAGAAAGAAAACAAAAAGGCTGAAAAATACATGGAAGCTTAACAACATGCACCTAAATAATCAATGGATCAATGACAAAATTAAAATACAGATCAAGCAATATATGGAGACAAATGACAACAACAGAACAAGCCCCAACTTCTGTGGGACGCAGTGAAGGCAGTTCTAAGAGGAAAGTATATAGCAATACAGGCCTATTTAAAGAAGGAAAAACAATCCCAAATGAATAGTCTAAAGTCACAATTATTGAAACTGGAAAAAGAAGAACAAATGAGGCCCAAAGTGAGCAGAAGCAGGGACATAAAAAAGATCAGAGAAGAAATAAATAAAATTGAGAAGAATAAAACAATAGAAAAAATTAATGAAACCAAGAGCTGGTTCTTTGAGAAAATAAACAAAATAGATAAATGCCTAGGCAGACTTACTAAGAGAAAAAGAGAACCTACACAGACATACAGAATCAGAAATGAGAAAGGAAAAATCACGACAGACACCACAGAAATA